CTTTTCATCTCATGCAGAGTATGACTCAATGTCCTTTAATCATTGATTTCTCTCCCGACTCTTTTTTGCTTCTTCAGCCATACTGGACTCCATGATCTTCACTGAATAGGGCCTTCGAGAAATGCTGTTCCCTCAGATTACGACTTGTTTTCTTTCCCCTTTTAGGTCTTTACTCTAAATGACCTTTTGAGCGAGATTTTCTGAAGCCAGTAATCTAAACTTCCTGTTCCCTCCCCCTTTTGTGCTTAATTTTTCTCCTTAGCTTTTATCTAACATACTATACATTTAACTTATTTCTACTAATACTGTCTTGCTAGAATGTAAACTTCATGAGGCAGGGATTTTTGTCTGTGTTTTCACTGCTGTATCCTCTGCACATTGGGAAGTGCCTGGCACATAGTATAAATTCCACAAATATTTGTTGAATGAATAATTGAAAAAAATGGGTGATACATGTCATAAAAAATAAGGATTACTAATGAAAGCACGATTAACAAAGGCCTTTGAGCCTAATGTCTAAAAATGTTCATACATTGTTGGTTTTTTGTGGAAATCTGTCTTTGGAGCATCTTTGCCTTTATGTCTCATAAGACCGGGCATGATTTCTCGTATCTTTGTAATGTGTAACTTTAGAGATGAGTGTTCAAGAAGGAATAGGATAATGAGAAAAATATAGGTGAGTATTAAATGATTTTCCTTGTTTGCCAGGCTGTATGAGCTAATGATTTTTAAAAAATTATTACTACATAAGACTTACTATTCATAGCTGACTGAAATTAGAAATGAAAAAAAGATTATTCATTGATTGAATTAGCAGTGTCTGGCACACAGTAATGTAATATATGAAGTAAGTTGGGCTTGGATGCCATCCAAAAGGGCTTAGTTATTGAAGCAGTTTTATTTCTGAAGTGATACTAAAGAATAGGCATGGGTGTCCAGGCTGGTTACAGTTAAATTTAGGAATAAGGCACAGTAATAAAGATACTATCTTTAGACTTGAAAATTATAAATCCTTAGTTGTTACTCCTTTATAAAGTTAACAATGAATGTACACACTATAAGCTATCATATGTACTGTAGATGAAAAGGGCAATAAACACTAGCCAGAGTTAGAGGTAGAACGACATAGTAGAAAGATAAGGGTTGGGTCCAGGCACAGTGGCTCACCCCTGTAATCCTAGCACTTTGGGAGGCCAAGTAGGAGTATCGCTTGAGCCCAGGAGTTCAAGACCAGCCTGGGCAATATAGTAAGACCCCATTTTTAAAAAAACAAAAAATAGAATATTTTAAAAAATTAAAAAAAGGGAAAAATTGAGAGTCCTGGCTAGCAGCCTTTACTATGCCACTCACTGGCTGTATGATTTGGAGTAAGTCACTGAAGCTCTTTTCCTTATCTCACCTGTAAAATGTGAGGATAGAATGATAGGCTTCAAAGATTCTCTGAGTACTAACTAGAAAAGTTGCACCCAAGTTTATCACAGATGCAGGGTTTGAAATGAAAATCCTATACTCAGATTTCTGTGTTGCAGGATTTTTTACTTCAAGCTTAACCACTGTGGTAGCAAAAACAACATACTCTCTGCTCACCTACCACAAAGGATGTCCACAATGAATCCCCAGAATTTGTGAATATAATTTCCCCTTGTTACATGGCAAGGGAAATTAAGCTTGCTAATAAGCTACCATAAAATAAAGAGATTATTGGCTGAGTGCGGTGGCTCACGCCTATAATCCCAGCACTTTGGGAGGCTGAGGCAGGTGGCTCATGAGGCCAAGAGATCAAGACCATCCTGGCCAACATGGTGAAACCCCATCTCTACTAAAAATATAAAAATTAGCTGGGGGTAGTGGTGCATGCCTATAATCCCAGCTACTCAGGAGGCTGAGGCAGGAGAATTGCTTGAACCTGGGAGGGAGAGGTTGCAGTGAGCCGAGATCGCGCCACTGCACTCCAGCCTGGGTGACAGAGTGAGAGGCTGTCTCAAAAAAAAAAAAAAAAAAAAAAAGAGAAAGAAAAATAACAAGATAATCCTGAATTATCTGGTTGGGCCTAACGTAATCACAAGAGTTCTTATAATGTAGAAGAGGGAGCCAGAAGACTGGCGGTCAGAGTGACGTGATGTGAGAAAGACCTACCAGCCACTGCTGGCTTTGAAGATGGAGGAAGGGGCCACGATGAGCCTCTGAAAGCTGCAAAAGGATAGAAAACAGATTCTCCTCCAGGTCCTCTAGAATGGGGCCCAGCCCTGCTGACACCTTGATTTTAGCCCAGTGAAACCGATATCAGACGTCTGACCTCCAGAACTGTAAAAAAATAAATTTGTATTATTCTGTTTTGTAATTTGTCACAGTGGCAGTAAATAACTAATATAATCATGATATGCACTATAACTAGAAAAGTTGCACCCAAGTTTATCCCAGATGCAGGGCTTTAAATGAAAATCCTATATTCAGATTTCTGTAAAGATCTTCAGAGTCATAAATAATGAGAGACCATGAAAAGTTTGTAGAAAAGCTGCAGGAATTAGTAGAGAGGGTCTATGCGGGAATACAATTTTTACTAATGATTCATGTCAAGAGAAGAAACTTGGATATTTTATGAAGGAAAGAATGTGGCAAGAGAAGTTTAAAAAATTACCCACAATATAGGAATTTCTTATCTAAAAACTGAAGAACAAGGATAAATAATTTCCAAATTTTTCTAGCTCTGAAATAAGATTGTAAAATCCTGATAGATGCTAAAATGGGCCTTTGACACCACTCCCCTACCCCACCCCACAAAGTACTATAGTTATTTTTAGTATCTGATGGTCAAGCTTCACAGAAAGCTCTTAGTTTGATAACAAGGAATTGGCTCTGAATTTCAACCCTGACACTTTTGTTAAGGTAGGGTGTATGAGAAAACTTTAATTTTCTTCGTTTCTTTGGAGACCAGAGTTTCACTCTTGTTGTCAAGGCTGGAGTGCAATGGCACAATCTCGGCTCACTGCAACCTTTACCTCCTGTATTCAAGCAATTCTCCTGCCTCAGCCTCTTGAGTGGCTGGGATCACAGGGGCCAGCTACCATGTCCGGCTAATTTTTGTATTTTTAGTAGAGATGGGGTTTCACCATGTTGGCCAGGCTGGTCTCAAACTCCTGATCTCAGGTGATCCGCCTGCCTCGGCCTCCCAAAGTGCTGGGATTACAGGCATGAGCCACTGCGCCTGGCCTGCTTTAATTTTCTAGCTCTTTTGCCACTTCACGTATAAAATCATGGTAAACATTTAGCTAGGTGGATTTTCCATGGAATGAATAATTTTAGATGAAGGTTTACTGAAGGTTTATTCCTTTATGTTACTAAACTTTATGTATTTTTGATGAAACTATTTCTAAAGTGAAATACATGCCCTCTTTTTACATAAAATTTAATACGTACTATATAACCTTTTCTTGAAAAGAGTCATTACAAGTAAAATCAATTGCTATACAGTATTGTGTTGTAAGCACAGTGATATTCTTTCTACACAGGTGTCTGTGAACTACGGCCTGCAGGCTGTTCTTGTAAGGCTGGGAGGTAAGAATAATTTTTACATTTTAAAAATGTTGTTAAAAAATGTGATCTAGATAATATATGGCTTGCAAAGCCTCAAATATTTATCTGGCCCTTTACAGAAAAGCTGACTGACTCTTGCTCTAGAAAAACATATACAAGTCTCTTCAACAAATGTCTCCAACTAGACTGAGTTTTATCCTCTGTCACCAAAGGAAAGTATTTTTATTTTGACCTATCGTCTGACAAAATAGTTTAAATATTTGTGGAAAAATAAAGCTCATTGGCATTTAAAACTCTTTTGTTGCTTCTTCTTGTTACACAGTCTCCTACTCACCCTCCAGTTTTCATCAGTCACTGTAGCTGCCTCTAGCAGTCGCTCCTCTCTACTCTCACCTTTCTAATCTCAGTGGAAATTTGATAACACAGCTTACCAATATTTTAAGGTAAGATTAAATTGGTTACATGAAGACCCTAGAACTATTTTCTGAGTAGAATACAGGTGGTTTGGTGCAGCAATTTGGTGACTTATTTTGATTGCCCCAACGCCTTTTTCTTTAGTTCCACGTTCTCTATTGCCCTTTGGAAAAGCAACATTTCAGGACAGATGAGGTGTTACTGCAGTATACCTGATCATTTTTATAACATAAAAGTAGCATTACATCTGAAAAGATATTAATCAAAAGACTGAACTGCAGTAACTGGAGTGGTAGGATTTTCTTGGAATATCTGAATTTATTACTACTTTTACAATGAACAGACATTACTTAATTTAAAAAAAGATAAATCAGAAGGATCTGTCTACTCAGTCTTACTGACCTAACAATCTTTATTTGGCATATTTTCTATCACAATTTGGTCATAGTTTTTAGTGGTTGTAAATATTGTTTGTTTTTATTTTGATTCATACTTGGCTTGCTAAAAAATACGCTGTAAATATAAAATACTGCAGTAATGCCAACAATCAACATGGTGAAAGGTGACAGTCTTTTTGACTTCTGTTCGATTCATTATTTTATACAATAAATTTGGATAATGTTACGCTTGACAAAACACTTTACTTCATTTAGTCCTCACAACATCCCTGTGAGGTAGGCACATTCTCGGAGGTAAAATGACGTGGGCAAAGTCTTCTGGCTCGTTTGGGGAAAGGCTCAGCAGCCGGGCCAAGAAAGGTCTTCGGGGGCGCAAGTATTTGGAGGGTAGGTCTTTTGGGGGGCGCTTTTAGTAATGTTAGAGCTTTCACTAAACCCTGGCCTCTTATGTCCTCTCCCCTGACATTTACCTTTACAGACTCAAATTCTTGCACGCCGGGAAGGCAGGCTGAGGGCTGCGAAAACCTGCAGCTCATACCCAAAGCTAGCACTGTCCATCCCTGGAGACCCAGCGCCAAAGAGCTCCGCTGGGCGCACAGCGCACGGCTCTACTCCTCCCCCGAGCCGCAGACTGAGTACTGGTCCCAGACTAACCTGACTAGGTCGGTCATGCAGGAGCCCACCACTACCACCGCCGCCACCTCCTCCTGCCACTGCTTCCGGGGTTCCCCAGACGCCGCCATCGCTCAAAGGTGCTGCTGTCCAACCTGGACTCTGACCTCTGCCCTTTGCCCGATCCAGTAACCAGAGACGCCGCTCCTGCCCTCCCTAACGACGCGGGCCTTTCAGACGCCTACGCGGGTCGCCCACCTGACTGCCCGAAATTACCCCGCCCACCAAGTACCCCTCTTCTTCCCGGAATAGTCTCCGTGCACAGCCTCACGTAACAGAGCCCTTCTGATATGGCGAGACTCCGCGCTCTTCGCCACGCACCGGCAGGCGCTGAGGAATGAACTGTCAGGCACCGCGGGGACGCCTTTCCGAGTGCCCGGCTTCGCGCGGCGCGGCGGCGCGCACGCCGGCCTGCTTCAGGGCGCAGAGGGGGCGGGGCGGGACGTCCGGGGAGTGCGCACGCATCCGGCCCGCGGCGCGCGCGCAGGTCGGTGCGTCGGTCGGGGGCGCGCTCGGGTACCTGTACCCCACGTAGTCGCCGGTTACCGATCGGACTAAGTTCCAGGTACCTGGACTGGGGCTGGTGCGGGGAGGTTGGATCCCAAGTCGCACAGGTGGCGTGGAAAACCGTGGTTTAAATATGGCCAGAGGACTCGACTCCTCTTCCTATGGGGAAGGCCCCTGTTCCAAAGATGCCCTTCTCATCCCCATCACGCTGATCCCCTCAAGAACGAACCCCCAAGGCCAGAGGCGTCTCTTTCTCCATATCTGGCTCATCCCATAGTCCCTGTAAAGCCCTAGTATCAGTTCCTTATTGCCTGATGAGGGGAATCATACAGTTTGGGAGCGGGGAGAGTGTCCCTTTTAAGACGTCCCTAGAGTAGGGTGGTCATTCTTCGGGTCTGAGATAACTTGTTTTTCTCGAATGTTGCCCCTTGGGGAAATTGCTTCCCCAGTGTAACTTCCCTCGTGCGCTTCATGACGTTGACGTGACGCAGCAGGATGCCACCCCTTTCCGTTCCATGACGTCAGCAGGGCACATGTTTCCGTGTTTGTCATCTCATTTTAATTGCAAGAACCTGGATGGTGCTTTAGACGTCTTTGTATTCTCCAGACCTCCCATCAAAGGACCTTATGTAACTTTATTTTGGGGTAGCAGACCCTTGCAAAAATTGTAATTTTGCATTTTCCTTTTGCAATACGTCAAAATCAGGAAATATAAATTGCAGAAGAAGCATTCAGGAGACTCTGACCACCGTAAATATTTGCATATCTGGGGTGTATTATAGTGCTGCCATGCGTAGGAGTTACTACTGGTGGTGACCACTGTCCACGTACTTGGTTCACTGCACCAAAGGACCAGTGTTTTTGGCTAAGTGACCTCTGATTTTGGAGTCATTGTATTCCTTACCACCCCTGCACTTTTTTTTTAGAGAAGTCACACCTCTTCGTGGTTGAAATTGATTTTAATACTGCTTGAAACTTTGCACCGTCAAAAAATAAATAATAAAGAGATTTTTTTCCCCCTGGAAATAAAGAGAATTCATTCCCTAAGGTGTCATCCTAAAGTCATGACAGTTGCTGAATTAGAATGGATTGTTGTCACTTTTCAAGTGTTGTTTCAAGTAACCTTGTTTCAAGCGAGGTTGTTCCCTTGAACATTTGACTAGTGATTCACTCAGCCCGGGTTCAGCAGTAGGCCAGCAATAGTCCAGTTTGTTTCTAGTGATAAAGCAGTCATTTGTTTAAATTCACTACTTTTTGTCTGTTCAAATTTTATAAGATATACAGTTTAAAAAATCACCTGGATGTTTTTCTCTTTGGTGATTGAAGTTATCAATGTTTATTTGAGAGGAAGATGGATATAGTAGACTTGGAAAATCTGGATTCGAATCCTGATCCTCTTGCTTCCAACGTTGAACAAGTTAGTTTATTTTGCTAAGCTTTAATTTTCTGTTTGTCAAGTTTTCTTTAGCTTCCATTTGTCAGATGGGAACAATTATTGTTCTCAGGGAACAGAGTTGTTGGGAGGTAAATGAAATTACAGATAGAGGTGAGTAATATAATGCCTGATAGTGGGTAGATGTTTAGAATATGTTGGTTCTGTTTCCTTCTTTTGTAGAAACAGACAAAATAATAATAGGTACTGTGGGAAGAAAACACAGAAGAACAATTTTGTAGTATAAGTGAGACCCCTTTGCTTTTTTAAAAGATGGGTATATTTGAGCTTAGCATATGATTTTGATAAACATCCCTTCAAGAATTGTGACATAGAAATAAAGGTGGAAATGTTGGAGAATAGAAAAAAATAGGCTTCAAAATTATGATGTGGATTAGTACACTTTTCACAATCAAATTATAATAATTACCCATATCATCTGCAAAATGGGAATTAAAATACTTTCTTTACTACCCCAGGCTTGTGAAGATCAACTGCAGTAATGTATATGGATGGTCCTTATAAGTAATAAAGTGATTTAAAAGTACATGATTTTTATGATTGGTAGTAAAGTGTTTGATGTTTAGTCTTTGAATGAGAGAATAGTCGGGGGGGCATCTGTTAAGAAGAAGAGCTTGTTTTATATTTTACAGAAAGGATGATTTTGGAGCTGAAGTTTAAGTATAAAGGTGTTAATCTCAAAGATACTTCTGGGTGTCATAACTATATAAGGTCAAAGTGTTTTTATTTTTTGAAATATCACTGTAGTCCTTCCCTTTATTACTATCTGAAATAATAAACTGAAACAGGTTCACTTTTCAACATTTATTTTAGCAGGGACTTGTACGTTTTCATGTGGTATTATGTATGAAAACTAGAACCAGAACATCATTTACTGGTAACTTGCTGGAAATTAATTTTCTTTTGATGTGGCATTATTCTTGAAAATTGAGGAAGGAAACGATCATTTGAATTGACTTATTCCTCTGAAGGAAGAGGCTTTCATTTAGAAATCTATTAAGAAGAATTCCTATACTCCCTCCCCCAACCCCATGAGTTTCCATGTAATTTAGATATGATGTATCAGTTCCACTTTTTGTGGTTTTAAGTGTAAGGATTTAGTGCCTTAAAGTCAAATACTTTAAGATCCACGTTAGTCTGTGTTGCTTGATAGCTGCATAGGTGTATGTTTTCATAATTTAATTGTCAAGTAGATTTTTGCTATATCTATTCCTTGGATTTTGTTATATCTCTTCCCTACCAAATTTTTTTGGGGAGGGCACATTATCTTCTCTCCATACTGAAGTACTTCTCTAACCTTTGTCCCCTTACTCATTTATTTATTTAAAAAAAGTTTGATAAATTTTGAGTGTTTAGCATATGCCAGGTATTTTTGTTAAACCCTAGGCATTCAAAACATAGTCCTTGCAGGAAAGGGATCACGTAAACAGACTACCCTGTGGATGGAAAGGTTATTAAGAAAGGTATATCGGTAAATAATTTCTCGTAAGTAATAGCTGCAAGCAGGTTAGCTTATTGTATAGTTTTCTTTTTTTCCTTTTTTTTTTCTTTTTTGAGATGGAGTTTCACTCTTGTTGCCCAGGCTGGAGTGCAGTGGCGTGATCTTGGCTCACTGCAACCTCCACCTCCTGGGTTCAAGCGATTCTCCTGCCTCAGCCTCCAGAGTAGCTGGGATTATAGGCATGCACCACTACGCCTGGCTGAATTTTTTTTTTTTTTTTTTTTTAAAGTAGAGACAGTGTTTCTTCATTTTGGTCAGGCTGGTATCGAACTCTCGAACTCAGGTGATCCGCCTGCCTTGGCCTCCCAAAGTGCTGGGATTACAGGTGTGAGCTACTGCACCTGGCCTGTAGAGTTTTATTTGGTATTATCCATCAAGCTTTTACTCCTTGTGGGGACACACAGGGAGAGATTGCTAACCCAGTGATGTGTGTGTTTTTGTGTTGGGACAGAGTTGTTAGCAAAGGCTTCTTGGACTCAAATAAAGTAGAATGAGCCAGTTGTGTGACAGAGTGGGACCATATTAAGTACAGTGTGGCAGTGTGGAAAATCAGCTTTGGGAAGGAAGAGGGAATCGTATTTCAGCGGTTCCTTCTGTTCCTGAAAAGCAGTGGTATAGTCCCTATCCTGAGCAGCTGAGCTGCAGTGAGGTGGTTTTTTTCTGGAGGATCACTGGAAGAGTCTGCTCTAGAGATGGGAAATGAGGCATTTATTCATGTAAGAGAAGCTCCTTTGTGCTGCTTAGTTTTCAAGAAGCGTGTTGTCTAGTTCATTTGTAAACTCTGATCATCATTCTTTCCATTTTCTGCTTTCAGTGGTAATTTACAAGTCAAGTTAAAATGTCCCCAGAAGTGGCCTTGAACCGAATTTCTCCAATGCTCTCCCCTTTCATATCTAGCGTGGTCCGGAATGGAAAAGTGGGACTGGATGCTACAAACTGTTTGAGGATAACTGACTTGAAATCTGGGTATGTATCAGTATGAATTCAGTGTATGTCCCAAAACCACTTCAATCTTTACCTAATGATAGTCCTTCCTTACCAGATTCGTAAAAATTAGCCACCGCAGAAACCCACCAAGTCATTATCTCATCATACGTTGATTCAGAAGGTTTTATTCAATTCTTGACATTTTATCTTTCATTTTATTTGTGTTTTGGGCCATTGTTTTATGACCAGAATGTTCATGTCTTTTTTCTGGTTTATCTCTTTGGGAAGAGCATGTGAGAGTTTTAGAAGTGTTTTTCATTCATTGGCTTGTTTTCTTTTTATGTTTGCTGCAGTCTGGCAACAAACATATTCTGAATCTGATTATCATTTGGTAAACTCTCTTAATATGAAAATTATAAGAGCTAGCCAAAATGGGTCATTTCTCACAATGGGGTTGAAACAGCAAGATCTCACACCTGGAAATGTTACATTAAAAAACAGATTTTCTTTTCCTGAAACAAACTTAGATTTACAAAAAGTTACAAAAATACTATAGAAAAATAGCATTGTTATAATGATGTTAATTGTTCTATAGGTCTTATTTGAATTTTTCCAGTTTTCCCGTTCATGCCCTTTTTGTTCCAGGGTTCAATCATCATGTCTCCTTAGTCTCCCCAACAGCGACAGTTCCTCAGTTTTTCTTTACCTGTCATGACCTTGACACTTTTAAAGAGCACTGGCTACTTATTTTGTAAAACGTGCATCCATATGGGTTTGTCTAATGTTCCCTTTTCAGTAGAATGAGAAATATGTTTTTTCCCAAGTATAGTACAGATGTGTGATTGTACCATCCCCAGTGCATCAGATCAGGGAATATATGATGTCCATATGCCTTTTTACTGTAAGTTAACTTTGATAACTAGGTTAAGTGATCACTGTAAAGTTAACTGATTTTTCTCCTTGTAATTAGTTAAGAACTGTATTTTGCTGAGTGATGCTTTTGGACTTTGCAAATATCCGGTTTCTCATCATAACTGTTGTCCATTAATTTCAGCATCCCTTGATGGTTCTTGCCTATAACTATTACTCCTCTGGTGCTTGTAGAAGAGTGCATTTTCTCATTTCTCCCCATTTATTAATTTGAATTCTACTATAAAGAAACACTCTTTCTTCTCCTTCAGTTATTTATTTTATTTAGTTATTTACTAGTGCCAGTATGAATTTTTAGGTATTTATTTTTCTCTGTGGGTTGTAAATCAAATATTATTATCATTTATTTGGCTGCTCAGTTGTTCCAGCTTTTTGTCATTAGGAGTTCTATCAAGTGGCTTTTTCGTCCTTTTGACATATCCCCATCATTTCTGAGTAATTTCTTACTAGAAATGTTGGCTTTTTTTTTTTTTTTTTTTTTTAAGATGGAAGACATTTAATTGGACTATGAGATTTGTGGGAAGCAAAGGTATTGGGCACTAGGGCAAGTTTGTACAGGCCGTGCTTAAGGTACCCTCTTGGATATGGCATCCACAAATGAAGCTGTTGGTATGGACCAAGATGCAGCCAGGAATCTCACTGACCTGGTCCACGGCATCCTCATGAAGAACCCGCCATGGCTTGGGCAGGGGCAGTCAGCTTTAGAATTAGTGGGGCTCCTTGGGCACACACTGTACTACTATTGTCTAGTCTGGTCAGTGTAGATAACAAAGGTGATGGCTGGGGTAGGGGCAGCTTAGATTCCAGATGGTAGAGTTGCCTCTTTCAAGGGTGTCTGCTTTTGCAGGCCAGGGCCCTAGACCCCAGGCTGGCAGCCAGATGTGCTCATACAAGCTTAGTCTCTGCAGAAACTCTAAGAGTTTACACACTTGAACCCTACCTTGGTTGGGCTGGTTCCAGGTGGGATTAAGTTGAGCAGGCATTCAGGCTACTGGCCAGTGCATGTCAAAGTTCCCCCTTCTTCCACTGGTAGGTCCCATTATCTATTGTGCCCACCTCCTCCATGATGTACTCATACATCTTGTCATAGTGGATGCCCACTGTATTGTCCTCTTCACTAGGCTCCAGCAACTGAGCCAGCAACTTGTGCCCAGCTGGGTCTGGAGCAGTGTGTGCCCAGCTGGGTCTGCACTGCTCAGCTGGGTCTGCTGTTGCTTCCCAGGTGACAGGGAGCTCATGGTCTCTGTGAAAGACATCTGGTAATGGTCATATCAGTGTCTCTGTGGGTCATACTTGTCACACATGTCCATTATGATGTCACATGAAGCTGATTTTTCAAGGTCCTTAGTCTCCGCCCTCTCTGCATCCCATAGTCTGGCAGGAGGCAAAGCAATGTGCATGTCATTGTCTTGTCACAGTGAATGGTTCCCTTGTGTGTCTTCATTAATGGGCGGTGCCATGAGGTGGTTGTGGGATCATTGGGTGATGGGATGGACTCTGAGCCAAGCATACAGTGGTGGGTTTGGAGGGGTGTTAGCAGCAGCAGCAGTGAAAGCAGAAATGTATTCTTGATTCTCTTTTAGCTTTCTCCTTGTTAGACTCTTTTGCCTTTTGCCATTTACACGTCCTTGCTGTTGTTTGACTAAGCTAAAGACTTGGGTATAAGAATACTGACCTAACGTTCTTTAGCAGTAAGATAAAAAAACTAAGACACTTCCTTGGAATAGTAGGATGCTTTTGAAAACATCTAATATTATCTTTAGTTTCACTAATCAAATATTTATGGAGCATTTACTATTTGCTAGCCATTTTGCTAGTGTTAGGTTAACTCCTTTTTTGTGGAGGCAAGAGGATTTGGTAGAAAGAACTCTGGTGGAGTTGGTAAAAACGTTTTAACTTTTTTTTCATCTAAAAGTTAACTATATACATTAGGGGATTTATAAATTAACTCTCATCCTTAGATAAGCCAGGTATTAGAAAGTGACTGTTTTTTTTTACTGGTTTAGAAGTTTTGCCATTTAGTCAAGTAGCAGGCCTGGTGCTCAGACAGACTTCCCCAGCTTATAAATGGTGGTAGGAAGTGAGGATTGTGAAATGCAGACTGTATATAGGATTCATTCAGACTGAATTTCCCACATTATCATAGACAATCTAGATACAGATCAGAGCCTCCTAAATTATAAAATGCTTTCTTTAGATGGATTCCATCTCTAATTGAAGTCATCAAGATCAGATCTCAAGAGGGTATTTTCCAGTTGCCCTCACTGTAATTTTTGGCCTGCAAAAAGTAGAGTGATGTACTTCCTTTACTGTGCTCATTTCTTCTCAGTTTGTTGTTTTGACTTTGGTTTCCTCATTCTGCGATCTTTAAATCAGTGTATTTTTCTTCTGGGTCTGAGAATAAAAAGATTTTCAAATGGATCACTGGATATTTCAGAGTAACTTTTCAGGTTTTCCCATATTTTCGTGTTTCTTTTCTTATTAAAAATAACATCTAATTAAAAATAACATCTTTATGTCTGTATTGTGCTCATCTCTCTTTTTTTTTTTCTGTGTTTTTGAAGGTTTAAAACTGTTGGTCTTTTCATAAATTTCTTTGGTTCAACAAGATTGTGCACAATCCTATTATTTTCTTTTCCTTCCCACCTCACCTGTCCTATCTTGAGTTTTACTGCTAGGAACAAACACAGTAAGGATTTTCTTCTTTGATTGGAATGGGGTGAGCTTGGAGAAAAGAAGGCATTTCAGGTGTCCACTGACAGTCTTAAGTATGTGTAGCCAGAGGCACTTTCCATTTTGTCTCTGGATCTCAATTTTTTATCCATAAAATGAAAGATCAGATTAGATGATTAAGGTTTTTGCAGGTCAAAAGTCCTACAAATACATCTCAAATGTCCATCAACTGATGAATGGATAAACACATTTGGCATATGAAAAATAGATTATTATTTCACCACAAAAAGTAATGTAATACTGATTCATAGTACAACATGATGAACTTTGAAAACACTGTGCTAAGTGAGAGAAGCTCATTACAAAAGGTCACTTAGTATATGATTTCATTTATCTGACATGTCCAGAATAGGCTAATTCATAGACAGAAAGTAAATTAGTGGGTGCCAAAGGCTGGGGAAATCAGAAGTGACTGCTTAAGTATGGGATTTCTTTTTGGAGTAACAAAAATGTTGTAAAATTAGATAGTGGTGATGGTTACATAGCTTTGGGAGTATATGAAGAATGATCAGATTGCACACTTTACAGTGATTTTATGGTATGTAAATTATATCTTTGTAAAGCTGTCATAAAAACAAAAACAAAAAAAACCTGAGCTGGACGTGGTGGTATATGACTGTAGTCCCAGCTCCTTGGGAGGCTGAGACAGGTGGATTACTTGAGTCCAGGAATTTGAGACCAGCTTAGACAACATAGCTAGACCCCATCTTTTAAAAAGAAAATAAAGAAAAAAAATAAAACCAATTCATCAACCAGGAATGTTCATTGATCTGAATATATAGGACGTCGAAATAAATCTTTCTTTTTTAGCATGTCACAGACATTCTTTTCAGAGGTACCGAAGACCTGACAGGGACCTGATGGCTAGTAGACTGTTGACTGGTGACTGGTATATGTAAGACGATATCAACCTGAGATTCTTATTCTTTGTATCAGTTTCCTGAGAGACCAGTTCGGTTTATCAGCATAAAGTCGTGTTGGTTCTTTTTCACAGATTCTCTTTTGGGTACTCTCAAATTCCAGAATGTTTAGTTGAGGATTTAAGAGCAAATGGTGGGATTCAATGACAAATTTGAAATGAATCCACGAGTCCTAGCCTTTTTTTTGAGACATAGTTTCGCTCTTATTGCCCAGGCTGGAGTGCAATGGCATGTTTTCAGCTCACTGCAACCTCTGCCTTCTGGGTTCAAGCGACCCTCCTGCCTCAGCCTCCAGACTACCTGGGACTGCAGGCACCCACCACCATGCCTGGCTAATTTTTGTATTTTTAGTAGAGACGAGGTTTTACCATGTTGGCCAGGCTGGTCTCAAACTTCTGACCTCAGGTGATCCACCCACCTCGGCCTCCCAAAGTGCTGGAATTACGGGCATGAGCCATCATGCCTGGCCTAGTCCTAGCTTTTTCTGGACTGTCTGAAAAATATGTGAAATGGCATTTAATGACATTTAATATGTATGGAATTTACTTTCTTTAGCTTTAAAAATGAAATGAAAAGACGTCTACATACATTCATAAAATGATGTGAAAAGCCTTGCTAATCTGGAACATTATTGATACCTTTTATATAGTACTTGTCTGAAAGATTCAGGGAAGCTCTTTAGAAGTTAATTAACAATTCCTTCTTCAATCTTTCCATTAGCCAAAGTGTGAATTTCTCCTTTCTGTAACAAAGCAGTGATAAAGTTAGGGAAAAGGATGGCTTCTTTTTAGTGTGCCGCTTTTGGTATTTCCCTTTCTTTTAGATCTTCAGCAGACACAGTTATGAGAATCAGAATTTACATGCCTAATTTCTATTAACTCAAAGAGTGTACCATATACGACACAGTATGTATAAAAGGTATAAAATGAGGAAACAATTTCTAAAGGCCACAAGAACCAGTTTTGTTATTATATGTAGACACTTGTCCTGGAAGAGATGAGGTCTAGGTATCTATATTCTAGATCTGGTTGGTGAAACAGGCAAGAACCTAATCAAAGCAAGATTTTCTTTTTCTTTTTTTTTTTAAAATTGCAGTTCATATATATTTCTCTTAGATTTTTCTACCTTACTTAAGACTATATATGTTTATAGTACCTAGATTTTTCTACCTTACTTAAGACTATATATGTTTCTAAACTCCATTGCTAGGCCATCAGTATCTTAAGGGACAAGTTCTTGTTTAATTTATTTTTATACCTCCTTAAGGTCTATTTTGGTACTTTTCACATGTAATATAGTTAGTAGGATTTGAATGGATGAATGAATGAGTTAGATGTTGTCCTTGAGAAACTGCTTGCTTTGGGGATCAGAGTGGTTTGTTCTTGTGGTTTGTAAGGATTTTTATTGGCCTGATAGTATATTGCTTACATTCTGTTATGCATAATTCTTTTTGTTGACATTTTTGAAATTATGGTAAAGTATATTATACAATACTGGATTTTCTCTTGTAGGTAAAATATAGACTGAGATGTGAAGGGATCAGATTATTAATTTTAGAGAATTATTCCATGAGCTTACTGAATGTTTATTAGTTCTTTGCTCTGTGTTAATTTGATCACAAGCGTGTGTTATTTGTAAGATGGCATATTTTGTCATTTTTAGTGATTTTTCTAATCTTGAAGATGTCTAAGTGTCTGTTCAGCATTCTGGAACGATGCCTGGCAAACACAACAGTGAGGAAAGAAGAGAGGGCTCACTGCAACCTGTGGCAGCTGAGCCTCAGTATCTTTTTTCAGCATTTTGCAGTGACTCAACCTTACTGGCACATGGCTGTGTTTGGGGCATCTGCTGTGACATCTCATCCGCCCACAACTACCTATTGCTTTTTTTTGTCCATGTTCTGAATTTCATTACTTAGTTAAAAATAGATACTCAGTGTAAGTACTTGATTACTAAATAGACCAGAACAGTTTTAAAGGATGAGTGCTGTAAGCTTTAAAGACTGATCTCAGTTTGGCTGCATGAGTCTCTCTAGCTGGCAGTCTGAATCTTTAGCCTGTGTCTAAAAGGAAGCTGCTGCCCTGGGAGGCAATAGTTTAATTTTTGTCTATGGCCATACCACCCTGATCGCACATGATCTTATCTGAAGATGGGCAGTTTTTAATAATTTAGATCTAGTTCGCTTGGCTTTTCTGTACTTTTCCCTGATCTCATTCCCCGTTTTCCCCATGCCTGTCCTCATACTTTATGTATTCATTATATGTTAATATATTTCTCAACAGTATTATTTTGCATGCTTAAAAAGTTTGTACAAATGATATACTATATATATTCATCTGCATCTTGCCCGTTTTGCTTAGTATGAAGTTAATGAGATTTTTTTGTATTGGTATTTACGACTTTGTGCTGCTATTTTGTATTCCATTGTATGAATATGTCCTTAATTTTAAATTCATTCTTCTACTGATTGACAGTTACGTTGTTTAAATTATTTTTTGACAAAGAGTGACACAGTGAACTTTCTCTCACATGTGCATAAGAAAATATGTATGAGAATATTTTCTGGGACAGTTTTTTGAACTGAGTGTGTTTACCCATTAGTGGTTGTAAAATCAATTGAATGAGTCACCCCAACATTAAAAAAAATGAATGAGAACAAAATGGAAACTCTCCAAATGTGTCACATACAGTAAGAATAAGCACTGTTTTGTGAATTTTTGTTTCAGTTAAATAAGTGAGTATGTATATACTGGGTCATAATGAAAAATATGTTTTGATGGCCAAAAAATTTGAAAGCTACAAATCAAAAGTATATTCCTAGAAACAGAATTACTAGCTCTTAAGATGGATGCATCTTCTATTTTATTAGATATTGCCAGATTGTATCAATTTCCTTCCATCAGAAATGAGTTTCTACTATTTTGCAACCTCACCAGTACTTGATATTGTCAGACATATATTTTTGGCAAGCTGATGAGGTATGACCTGGTATCTCATTATGGTTTTAATTTGTATTTCTGTGATTGCTAGTGTGGTGAAAATTCTTTTCTTTTTTTTTTTTTTTTTTTTGTTGAGACAGAGTCTCACTCTGTCACTAGGCCAGAGTGCAGTGCAGTGGAGCGATCTTGTCCCACTGCAATCTCTGCCTCCCTGTTTCAAGCGGTTTTCCTGCCTCAGCATCCCAAGTAGCTGGGACTACAGGTGGGTACCGTCATGCCCGGGTAATTTTTTGTATTTTAGTAGAGATGAGGTTTCACCATGTTGGCCAGGATAGTGTTGATCTCCTGACCTTGTGATCTGCTCGCCTCAGCCTCCCAAAGTGCTGGGATTATAGGCACGAGCCACCTCGCCATGCTATGAAGTCTTTTAATATGATTATTGGCAATTCAGATTTCTTCCTTTGGGATATCCTTACTCATCTTTTAAGTGGATTGTTTGTATATTTCTATAGATTTTAAAGCATTATATATTTTGGATACTTACTTTTGGTAATTACATGTATTACAAATATCTGCACAAAGTCTGTGGCATGTATTCTTATTTTAGTGCTCCTAATGTCCAAGACTTTTGATTTTGATGAAGTTACATTCAACAGCATTTTCTTTTTTAGGTTTGAATATATGTGTCTGTGTGCACATGTATGTGTGTGTGTGTGTGTATGTGACAGAGAGAGAGTGTTTTAAGAAATCTGGGCCTATCCAAAAGTCACACATCTTTGAGAATTTTAAAGTTTTCCCTTTTCCTTTTTTGGTCTTTAAACAGAAATTTATTTTTTCTATTATATGGCGTGAGATAGAGATATAGTCCCGCCCAACCCCCCACCATATGGATAATTGATTGACCCTGCCTCGTTTATTGAGAAGGCCATCCTTGTCCATGGATGTGAAGTTTATATCACACATGGGCCTGTTGCTAGACTTTCTGTTCTGGTCAGTCAGCCTCATTGTCCCTGTGCCAGCTCCACACTTTCTTAACTATTATAGTCTGTGAAATGTCATGATAGCCAGCAGGACAAACTCCCCTCTTCCATCTTGTTTTAATTCTTAAAAATTGTCTTTATTAACCCTATGCTCTACATACTTTTTTGTAACCTCATTTAAATAGTTGTATACCATTTCATTAGGAAACATACCATAATTTAGTTAACAAAAAAAGTCCTCTTTTTAATTAATTGAGAAAGAGAAATGAAGGGAAATTACCCTGATGAGGGGCAAATTGAGAATTGAAGGTTAGAGAAGCTCTCTCTGAGGAAGAGACATTTAAGTTGAATCATGAAATAGATGAATATAGTAGTCCCCCCTTATCATTGGGGGATATGTTCCAAGACCCCCCGCCCCCTGGCCCCGTTCCCAGTGGATGCCTGAAATCTCTGATGGAATTCTTTTGCTGTCAGTCTGAATACATTTATATCGGTGTCTTCTACCCACAAATTTAATGCCTTTTCTATCTTAACTGAGTACTTAGCATACACTGTGGCTGTTATTTTTGCAATTTGAGGTGCAAAGCAAAACTAGCACAAATTTCTTTTTCTTTCTTCACAATTTCATGGACAGAAGATTTGTTCTTATGTTAGATCTTAGCAACATCAACATGTGATTTTTTTTCTTTCCTTATTAAATCAAGAACTTTTACCTCTTCCCTTAAAGGAAGCACTTTATGGCTTGTCGTTAGTGTGTCTAAATTGCCAGTGTCACTACTCTTGTGCTTTCCCTAAGTGCTTTATTAAGTAAAATAAAGATTACTTGAAGTCAAGCACTGCTGTACCGTGGCAGTTGGTTTGATCACCAAGACAGCAACTAAGTGACTAACGGGTGGGTAGTGTAGACAACTATGCTGGACAGAGGGATGAGTCATGTCCTAGGCAGGACAGAGCTGGAAGGTGTGAGAACAATCTCAGAACAGCATGCAATTTAAAACTTAGGAATTGTTTCTGGAATTTTCCATTTAATATTTTCAGACCAAATATTGCTTTTTCTTGACCAAGGGTAACTGAAACCACAGAAAGCAAAACCATGGATAAGAGGGGACTGCTGTACTTCAGTGTAAGTGCTGGGGGATTTGATGTAAAAAGGAAATACCTTTTCCGTGCACAGGCAGGAGAAAGCTTTTTATATTGAAGGATCTGCAAGGCCAGTTGTGATTGGAATATAGTAAGAGAGTGCGAGAGGGAAAGCTTGCTTTTTATTTATTTTTTTTAATTATTATTTTTCGAGATGGCGTTTTGCTCTTGTTGCCCAGGCTGGAGTGCAGTGGTGCGATCTCAGCTCACTGCAACCTCTACCTCCCGGGTTCAAGTGATTCTCCTGCCTCAGCCTCCCGAGTAGCTGGGATTACAGGCATGCACCACCACGCCCAGTTAATTTTGTATTTGTAGTAGAGATGTGGTTTTTCCATGTTTGTCAGGCTGGACTTGAACTCCTGACCTCAGTTGATTGCCTGCCCCAGCCTCCCAAAGTGCTGGGATTACATTTGTGAGCCACCATGCCTGGCCTGAAAGCTTGATTTTTATTCTGGGTGAACTGAGAAGCTATTGAAGAATTTTCAGGAGCAAAGTGACATGATCTTATTTTTATTTTAAAATATAATCACTAGTTGTTATAGGGCAAATGGCTTGTGCAAGGTAAGGTATACTAGTTAACTGGCCATTGTAGTGGACCAGGTAAGAGATGATAGAGTTTTAGAACATGATGATGGCAATGGAAATGGAAAGAAGTGAATAAATTAAGAAGCTATTTAGAAAATCATGAGGATTTTGAATTTGGAATTTGAGAAGCAATCAAGAATGACTTCTTGTTTCTTAGTTTGAGTAAGTGGGCAGATGGTCATATCATTTGCAGAAATGGGGAAGATTGATGGAAGAACTGCTTTAATTGTATTGATTGCTCTCTAGGTCTGCCATACAGCTATTATTTTAGGTCTCCTCTTCCTGTATTGATTCACTTATTTTCTTGTTTTACCTTCTTGCTTTGTTGGAGCATATATTCCACTAGCAGCCTAAGAAAAGGAGAAAAGGAGATACATTTTTTGAGTTCTTGAAAATCTGAAAATGTCTAGTTTTAAATTTGATTGATAATTTGGGCAGGTACAGAAGTCTGCCCAACAGACAGACATATTGTCATAGTTTCATGAATGTAGTATTTTCTCTTATTTTTATAAGGATATTAGTTATAGCTTTAAAAAATTCTTCTATACCTTGCATTGTCTCTGTTTTGCCCTCTGTCTTTCATGTTGATGGCTTTCCTCAGACTGATGATTCTTGGCTGTGGATGTCTGTTAAGGAATGCATCTCTAACATGTAAA